CGTGTCTTAAAAAAGATATAAAATAAAAATATAATTATTGTATCTTTTATATTAATTATTATTAAAAAATATAAAAATTATTATTAATTTTATTATTAATGTTACATAAATTATTACACCTAACTCATTAACTCGAGTGGTTCTTGTCACTTTATTAAAGTATAATTTTTTTTCGTGATTGAGATCAAGTTCTTGTGATACCTTGTTAAAAAAAAAATGCTACGTAAATTATTTTAATTAAATAATTATTTAAATGAAAATTAAATTTTATTTTTTTAATTATTAATTAATATTAAAAATATGACCATTACACTTTTATTCTCAACTCTTAAAAGCCCTAAATAAAATGGGACGGCTTCGGTTGTTTGCAATTGAAGTCTGGACACTCTGACACTGACATCTATACGTAATATGCTAATTAAAGCCATGAAAATTAAACCCATGCCTTAAAAAGTCTGAATGAATGGGCCTTGCTTCCGTATTTTCTGGTTCCTCTGCTTTTTCAAGGTGCTTGTGAATTATCCCACACCGTTCCTTAATTTATTTTTGGGTTTTTCTGACTTGTTGTATAATTTTTGTTTTTTTTTTATCTTAATTGTACAATGAAAAATAATTATTTTTTATTTTTTATTTTACTAATCTGCATACTATGCGAGTTGAACTTAACATTTCTTACTTCTAATGGAAAGAGATGACCACTGAATTATTTACATGATTGATTATAATTTTTGTATTTTTTAAATATTAATTAATATTAACAAATAAAAATTAATTAAGTTTGTCTAAATTGTATCTTAAAAGTACAAATTAAGAGTACAATTATTACACTTTTTTAATATTAATTATTATTAAAAAATACAAAAACTATTATTGATTGCATTACTAGTATCATGTGAAACTATTTTAATTAGATAATTATTTAAATAAAAATTAATTTTTATTTTTTTAATAGTAATTAATGAGGAAAAGGTGTAATAATTACACCATTAAAGGCAAAAGTGAAAAAAATTCAAACTAATTTACACTTAAGCATTATGTAATTAAAATGATCACTTAAGACTTGTGGTCAAAATTAATTATAATTTTTATATTTTTTAATATTAATTAATATTACAAAAATACAATAATTACAATTTCAACATGAGACATATATTATAAAAGCTCTTTAATTATTTATTTATTTATTTGGTCATGCTAGTCCTTTTTAAATCAATCTTTAAATGGTGAGGACAGTTCGTAAGAACTTGAGCTTTATTATTGAGTTTGAAACTTAAAATAACAAGAGAGGGATTTTAAAAAGTACAAGATCATGCCTTGTTATTTAAATAAGAGTTTGAACCTTCCTATTGAGTGATGTATGAGGGGGAGAAATTCAGAAAAGTGCAGTATCATGCCCTATCATATTATATAAAATATCATCACTCGTTTATTAGATGCACGAAAAATGGGGTTTGTGTATTTTTCAGTTTTCCTTTTCTTTTAATGGTGAGGTTTATGATAGAAGATAATCTCCTCTTTCTCTTAAATTCACCTCATTTGTTTGCATTATATTGTTCTGTGATGTGCTGTATTCATAAGTTTTTTTTTTTTAATTTTAAAAATACATAAAATATTAATTAATAAAAATATATAAAATTTAATTTAAATTAATAAAGTTACTTTTTTAATTAGGAGTTTATAAAAAAGATGTATGCAAAGTATAAATAAATAAAGCTGCAGTTTCGAACTTGAAATTTACATGTTAAAATTTCAAATTTTTAAATAATTGAATTATTATTTAGGCACACTTTTTTTTTTTTGGTGATTAACATAAGTTGTTGGTAACAATATATATTGTTGTTTTAGGCTTCATTTGGAGTATCGTGTTGGGTTGTAATTTTACTTATAGTTTTTTTTTTAATCTAAAAAATATATAAATTTTAATTAAAATTAATTAAGAATAATAAAACTATATTTTTAAGAAATTAAAATGCTATGTGAAAAAAGATCTATTAAAAATAATTTCGTCAATAATATAAATAACTCAATGATTATCTATTTCTACTAAAAATAAGAAATTCTGATTTCGAATTGCATGACATGTGAGTAAAATGAGATAAGAGATAATTACCTCTTATTACGTAATAAAAAAAAGGCATTTTCAAATGAAACCGCAGACTTTTAGTTAACATAATCAATAATCAAACTCAAACTAGAGCAATCAATTCTGTTCAAAATGACCTACAAGTAATTAACAAAGTTGAAGCAACGTGTACTTAATGGGATTCTTAAAGAAGCAGTCAGCCCATGCGCTACATGAGGGGCTGTCGGTAACAGCCATGCCATACATTCTTCATCATCTAGGCGCACAGAAACTTCATAAATGAACTAAGGGGAAAAAAAAAAAGTCAAAAGTCCGATGAGGCAAGCGCCCGGAGAAAGTCTACTATACAACGGGGATACCACATCAGATGGTATCCCCATCCAATAACAAAATGACAGCTCATCAAATTTGAACACTTCATCATCTGATTCATCATCCACATAAAGACAGCTCACCGTTCGACAGCTACCATAATTTAACTTAACGGAGAAATTGTTTATCCCCCTAAAATAACTTAATCGTCCCTTCCCTATCCTCCCCCAAGTGTTCATCGCTGACGAAAGCGGCAGGGACGATCTAAGTTTGCAGGATCCCTTACTCCCACCAAATTCCATCTTTCTTCTCTTTAATACCAAAAATATGAGTTCTTCTGATTTGTGAATAACAGGTTCAAGGAGATTTGTGGTATGGAAAACTTAGTGGTACACAAAAGAAAAAAAAAATTAGCTTTTTCAGATCTGGGCAAAAAAGAATCAGATTAAAGTTTTTTGGGTTGAAAAAAAATATTAAAACTGTCTGGTGATGGGATTTTGGAGATAAAGTAACTCGATGCTTAAATTCGCCTAAATCCTAGATCAATACAAAACTCTATGCACTTTGTTCCTGCGTTGTTTATTTTAAAAGCAAAAATTATCTTTCTTTTAATTTCTACAGCAGAGGTTAGGGTTGAGTTGAAGACAAAGAAGGGGAACTTCACTTTTAACACAATACTAAAAAAAAAAGATGAAATCAAAAGACCCTTTGAAGTGTAAAATCCAAGATTGTTTTTCGGTAGCAACATTAGCCAAATCTAAACAACCACCAGTCTTTTATGGCCTAGAAATTCAAGGAAAACCAAGTCAGATCATATGAAAAGCTTCTACAAGTACATAATTTCTATTATGAATTGCAGCAGAAGTCGAAGGTATGAGAATTCCAGAAAAAAAGAGAAAGACAAAGATGAGATTGGAATGAAGGGAAGAGAAAACGTTTGGGATGAAGATGTTCTCCGTTTCATATGTTTCCGTTAAGCTAGTGACGTGTCTTTAATTTAATTAGGAGGTGTTTTTTTATGAGGTGTCGTTCTGTTATTGGATGGGGGTACCAACTGACGTGGTATCCCCGTTGTATAGTAGACTTTGTCCTTCGCAACGCCGACGCTCACCTCAAGACCATCCCCATTTAATCTCATTTAATGCCCACATACAAAGTCTTCTGCATTTTGGACATTTTTTCTCAATATTGTTTGTCCAATGCCTTGGAAATGGTCCTAATTAGCAGTAGTAGTAATATTTTAATTCACATCTATCAATTTCCATGTGTTGACTTTTTCGAGTTGGACAACTTGCATTTGCATTTTTCTTTTTTCCTCGTCCCCACACCCACCTATTAAAGACCGTATCTAGTTTGGTTCTTCTCCTGAACAATTTGCCAATATTAGGCTTTTACCCAACTTTTCATTTCATTCAGTTTCGTTCCACTAAAACTATTCTTTGTTTCTTTTTGCTATTTTCTTTCTATTCTGAGATCGAATCCAAGCTCTTGTGTATTTTCCGGTCTGCTGTATTAACCCCATTGTCAATATGGATGATCAGGTGGAGATTCCTATGCATTTTTTGTGTCCGATTTCGCTTCAACTCATGAGAGATCCGGTTATTGTTTCCACCGGAATAACTTATGATCGAGAACACATAGAGAAATGGTTGTTTTCTTGCAAGAATAACACATGTCCTGTAACGAAACAGGTTTTGTCTGATCCAGATCTGACTCCAAACCACACCCTCCGCCGCCTGATCCAGGGATGGTGCACCCTCAATGCCTCTCGTGGGATCGAAAGAATCCCAACACCAAAGCCTCCAGCTGACAAAACTCAGATTGTAAAACTCCTCAAAGATGCCGAGCAATTCCCTGACATGCAGCTTAAATGTCTGAGGCGGCTCAAATCAATCATCTCCGAAGGTGAAAGAAACAGAAGCTGCCTTGAATCAGCCGGTGCAGTACAGTTCTTGGTTTCGATCATCAAGAGTAATGATCACTCCATCTCACAAGAAGTTAGTGATTCTTCATCATCTGGATTTACGAAAGCCAGTGGTGAGGCCTTGAGCATTCTTTATGAACTCAAGATCTCCGATGGCTGCCTGAAGAATATCATGAACAATGATTGTGGTGCTTTTGTGGAGTCTTTAATTCAGGTGTTGAAGCATGGAAACTACCAATCCCGAGCATATGCAACAATGCTATTGAAGAACGCATTTGAAGTTGCCAATCCATTCCAATTGATGAGCGTCACACCAGAATTCTTTGCAGAAATAGTTCGTGTTTTACGCGATCAGATCTCACAGCAAGCCTCCAAGGCAGCACTGAAGCTTCTGGTAGAACTCTGTCTGTGGGGCAGAAACAGGATCAAGGCGGTTGAAGGAGGCGCAGTCATGTTGTTGATAGAACTCCTTCTGGAAGTTTCCGAGAAGAGAACTTGTGAACTGAAGTTGATCTTATTAGATCAGCTCTGCGGATGCGCGGAGGGGCGGGCAGAGCTGTTGAAGCACGGGGCAGGGTTAGCGGTGGTGTCCAAGAAAATACTAAGAGTTTCACAGGTAGCGAGCGATCGGGCAGTGAGGATTCTATCTTCCATAAGTAAATTCTCTGCAACTACTAGGGTTCTTCAGGAGATGTTGCAGGTGGGGGTGGTGGCAAAGTTGTGCTTGGTGCTTCAGGTAGATGGCAGTTTTAAGACTAAAGAGAGGACGAGAGAGATTCTCAGGCTGCATTCTAGGGTGTGGAAGAATTCTTCGTGTATTCCTTTTCATTTGTTGTCTTCTTATCCATCTTCTTAAAACTTTGAAAAGCTATAATTATATTTTCTGTATAGATAGGAGGAAATTTTGGGCATGAGAAAATAAATTAAACTGCCCTCATTTTGCAGCTAAATTCGATGATATGATTTACTCGTATATGTAAAACTCATGAAATTTGTCCATTAAAAGAGACTACTTCTTGAATAACATATATGTAAGTTTTCTTACTGAAAATAATAGGGGTGGTGCTATCGTGGCACTTTATATTATAATTTTGATGCTATACCATGAGTATATTTGATTTAAAGAA